TATTTCTCCAAAACAGACGGTTAACAGTTGCTCCTCGGTGACAACAGGAGACACAGAGAATTGCTTCACTTTTATTCTAGGGCTAGACTAACTGAATCTTTCACAAAAGAACACCGTCATCAGTTTTATCAGCTTCTAAAGAACCAAATTTTTAAATGCCTTAAAGACATCAATTATCAGTATATTCACTTTCTTTGAACACAAAAGTCTTAGAACTTAAACATGTTATTCTTGGCCATATCATTATAAACAATGAAGGAGCCTAACTCACTGGCACTTACAGAGAGACCTCCATACTCTCCCAGGCCTTTGTCCGGCAGCACTATGCCACTCCAACGTATCAGGTTCATAAGTCTATTTGCCACTCAGGTCATTAGTCTGAGCATCTCTTCTAACTGAAATCAAAATGTCTCTTGACTTCTAGCATCTAGTAAAGGGCCTATAGCATTATAGAAACGTACTGCAATTAAACACCTCACAACTGATGACACAGCCAACAGTGGCTTAAGTTTTTGAAGACTACACTGTAATAAACCCATGAAATCATTATTCCTACAATAGTAGTTAGGTGAGCAATGCCCATCAAGGAAAACCACCGCTGAGATGAGTTTTCAAGGGCTGTGCGTAACACAGGCATGTGAGAGATGCTACCGTAACCCTGCCGAGGGTAGACATTATTTCATCCCCTCAACTCCCCTGGCTGTTTTTCTCCCTCCCAGAACCACACTCAAAAAAAGAGAAACACAGAATGAGCACTGCTGGACAGGTCTCCTATTCAACTCCACTGCACCTTTCCACTGAAGGCAAAAGAAGACGGCTGAAGTACACTTCTTAATTTTTCCTGAGTAAGGGCAGCTTAAAACAGGTGGTACAAACTCAGTGAGGGTTCTTGTCTGTTTACTACTAACTTGCTGTGCCAGGTGAGTGGTGTTTGAGGGCCTCACTTTATACATCCATCAAATAAGTAATCGTGCTGGGATACTTTTAAGAAACCTAGCAGCTCTAACATTGCATGACCCTTATCATCTGCTTCAGGAACTCTTCACTGAACATACCTTGTTTTCTTAATTTGCCTGCCCTTGTAGGCTACAAGGAAAAGTGTCATTTGATTATCAGAGTACATGATTTCTTTTCAAAAATATGTATCTATTTACATCTCATACTACAGAAAGTCAGGTAACATGTCTAAAATTGCTTTTGTGGGGCCGGCGCTATGGCTCACTTGTCTAATCCTCCACGTGTGGCACCGGTATCCCATATGGGTGCTGGGTGCTAGTCCTGGTTGCTTCTCTTCCAGTCCAGCTCTCTGCTGTGGCCCGGGAGGACAGTGGAGGATGGCCCAAGTGCTAGGGCCCTGCACCCGCATGGGAGACCAGGAGAAGCACCTGGCTCATGGCTTCGGATCCGTGCAGCACCGGCTGTAGCAGCCATTTGGGGAGTGAACCAATGGAAGGAAGACCTTTCTGTCTGTCTCTCTCCCACTGTCTATAACTCTACCTGTCAAATAAATTAAAAAAAAAAAAAAAGAAAAATTGCTCTTGTTACATCAAATGTATTTTTATACTCACTACATATTAACTTCCTTCCACAAATAAAGAAAATGTGATGTTTGTCTTTCTGGGTCTGGTTTATCTCAGTTCTACCCATTTTATTGCAAACATCATTCTTTTTTTATGGCTGAGTGATACCCCATCATGTATGCATACCACATTTTCTTTATCTCATCATCAGCTGATGGACTCTTGGGGTGATTCCACAACTTTGCTATTGTGAACTGAGCTGCCATAACCATGTGAGTGCAGGCAACTCTTTCATGTGCTGATTTCACTTCCTTTGGCTACATTCCCAGAAGTGGGAGAGCTGGGTCACATGATAGATTCATTTTTAGTTCTCTGAGGAATCTCCATACTGTTCTCCATAATGGTTGGAACCTTTTGAATTCCACCAACAGTACACATATCCTCACCAGCATTTTGTTATTTTTTCAATTTTGGACAACAGTCATTCTAACTGGAGTGAGGCAATACCTCATCGTGGTTTTTATTTGCATTCTTGTGATGGCTAATGATCCTGAGCATTTTTTCATGTGTCTTTTGGCCACTTGCATTGACCCTTAGTGAAATATATTTATAACAATCATAACCTATTTATCATTGAGTGTTAAATTTACAATGAGCCTCTATGTATTCATCCTTTCTCCCCTAAGCTTCAATTAGCTTATCGTACACCTTGTTGGCCATTATTTGCTTGTTGGTAGAAATAACCAACAGCATTATAGGAAACTAGATACGTTTCCATCTCTCCCAGAAATTTGAGGGTCTTTTTGTGTGTATTTTTTTAAAGATTTATTTATTTATTTGAGAGAGAGTTACAGACACAAAGAGGGAGAGACAGAGAACCAAATGGCCGCAACTGCCGGAGCTGGGCTGATCAGAATCCAGGAGCTTCTCCCGGGTCTCCCATGCAAGTGCAGGGGCCCAAGCATTTTGGTCAACTTTCACTGTTTTCCCAGGCCACAGCAAAGAGCTGGATCAGAAGAGGAGCAGCCAGGACTCAAACCAGCACCCATATGGGATGCCAGCACTGCAGGTGGAGGCTTAATCCACTTTGCCACAGTGCCAGCCCTTGGACATCCTTTTCCATGTCTCCAATATCCAGTTAAGCAGAAACTCCATTACACGCCAGTGCCGCCACAGTTGCAGATTCAGACTCCATCTCCCTTTCTCCTTGGGTAACAGAGCCCCAGTGTCATCCAGGGCATGGTGCGCCCAGCTCTAAGCCTCCACTTCCCAGACCCGTGGCAGGAGGCCATGGGATCAAGTTCTGGCCAGGATGCTGTCTGAAGAAAAACCATATGGGACTTCTGGGAAGACGCTCTAAAAGGGTGTGCCCCATTTGCTCTTCTTCCCTTTCCCTTCCTCCTCCCTACTGGCCCAAGCACAAACAGGAAGAGGACTGGAGTCCTGGCAGCCACGTCGGGCTGTGAGTTAACTGAGAAGCCACACAACAGGGCAGAAGATGAAGAGTGTGTGACAGCAACGTCCCTAACGGATGCCTCCACCACAGCCGCAGTTCCCCAGCATCCACACTTCCTTTATACAGGATCAAAAAGTTTCCTGTGAGGAAGCCACCACTGACACTGTTGTGCCTCGGCCACACCCAGACCTAATTCCTAACTGACACAAGTACCGTCTCCGGAGCACAGTTCTGCCATATGAAAAGCTTTCAAAGGTTCACAAAAGACAGGAAACTCTCATCGGAGTAAGCACTAGTTTTTTGGTCTAGAAACTGTAACTTGCTGAGGGGAAGACAGGATTTTTTTTTTACTTGTAGAGTGCTAAAGGGAAAGTTTGTCTTGTTCAAGTAACCATTTTGCCTAACCAAGCTAAACATCCACACATAATGTGGTTTACAAAAAGTTCATGGAAAATGTGTATTATGAACACACTATGCATAGTTTTTTTTTAAAAAAATACCAAGTGCCCTCATATAACCTGTTCATATCCCAGGGGAAAAAACCTGCTATCACAAAATTTCAGTTCTCAATGATATGAACCCAGTAACCAAAAGATGTCTGATAATTCTTTCAGTCAAAATAAATTTTTCTGAGAGGCTGAGACAGAGATACAAGAAATGGCTTCTATCTGCTGTTTCACTCGCTAAGTGCCCCACAACAGCCAGGGAGCTGCAGCTGGGAGCAGGGACCCAGGTCTCCACACAGATGGCAAGAACTCAACTACCTGAGCCATCACTCAAGGCATCTCAAAGGAATCTTAACTGCTAGACCAAGTCGCTACCTCCAAACAGATTTTTAATGACCACTGTCACAATCAACTTAGTCAACCAGCACAAGTTCTAAAGAAGCTTGTAAAATGTTTAAATTTATCCTAAAACTGACCTCCTCTTCAGAAGACCCATTCATGCAAAAGACCAGTTAATGAGACTTTTACTGGACTACTAACATGTCACCCATGATGAAAGTCTTCCTAAAAGAAATTTCTTTAAGGTAAGAAATTAAAACAATAGCATTTGATTTGTGGCACCATAAACAAATTAGGCAAATGAGAATGGATTTAGAATGGAAATTAAAAAGCATACAAATGTTACTTACAGTCGTGAATTTTTCAATACAATCTAAAGCTACTACCTATCTTAACAGGCAAGTGAAAAGAAAAATCTATAGTTAGGAGATAGACTTCCTATTATTAGAGAGAGGGGTGGGGTGGAGGTTTATATTGGCACAAAGAACTGCTGACCTGAATTATCTTTAAGTGTTTTAAATGAGAATACAGAGGGTGCAATAACTGAAAATACCATGGAACCTTTTAATATAAGACCTGATAATACTTTGTGAGCCACTGTGGGAACACTGCCCTTGAGACACTTTCGCATTCCTCCATAAGAGTTAAATCTATTTATATCAACTCTGCCAACACTGACTCATTAGCGCAGCCTCTTGGATTAACCTTATGGGATTCTACAGGACATTCTTTTTCCAGACAACATTTTTTAAATTTGAGAGCAGGTACTGATTTCTGGTTTTATAACATTTTTTAACCCCTTAAAAACCCCATAAAATTGCGAATATTCTGTAACTAAAAACAATACCTATTTTCTAGATATGGTTGGGAAAGCATGTCAGCAATTAGAATAAGCATGAAGAGAGATGGTTGCCCAGCTCCTGAAGGTGAATAAATCATTCTGTTTATGGTTAATTTCTTTTCAATAGGTAAATTGAAAAAGTATATGGGGCTTTGATATGTTTGTAAGAATAAGCTTAGGTATCTTTGTATGGAATTCTATCCCTTTTGTGACCACACCTGCACACACCCTAAAATGTACAACAGACAATCATCTACCAGCACACTCAGTAGAGATGCATGCACATTTAACAGAGCTACATGGCGGCAAAACCAGAGTTTCAAAGCTCTGGCTTACTGCGTAATGGTTACAAGAGTAAGCAGCAGAAGCAAAGCGAGGTTAGCAGAAAGCACTCTTACCTGTACCGTTGAGGGTAGTGTTTTTATTTGTGTACAGCCTGATCATATGTCCTATTGTTTTCACATTTTCTCTCAACATTATACCTCGAGCTTGTACCATAAAGAGATACGTGTTGGCTATAAAAGAAAAAAGAGATACAGATTGTCACGACTCAGTTAGTTTTATTTAATAACATTCAGAATTAGGGAAGTGCCCAAACAACATCAACCGACTCAATTAACATGTCCAAAAGAACACAATTTATAAAATTACTATTTTCCAACACAAAACTTGTAAAACAAACCAGTATTTTAAAACAAAAATGACAGCTTGGTTTTCTGTTGTTGAGTCTTTTGAGAAATGGGCAAATGATTTCAATAGACAGTTCTCAAAAGAAGAAATACAAATGGCTCACAAATATAGGGAGAAATGCTCAACATCACTAGCCATCAGGGAAATGTAAATCAAAACCACAATGAGGTATCACCTCGCCCCTGTCAGAATGGCTAAAATCCAAAATAGAGAGTAACAAATGCTGGCAAGGATGTGGAGAAAGGGGAACACTTACACATTATTGGTGGGAGTGTAAATTAGTGCAGCCACTGTGGAAAACAGTGTAGAGATTTCTTCAAAAACTAGAAATAGACTTGCCATATGAATCAGCAATCCCACTACTGGGCATATACCCCAGAGACTTGAACACAATGTATCAGAGAGATACCAGCACCACCATGTGTATAGCAGCACTGTTCACAATAGCCAAAATTTGGAACCAGCCGAGGTGTCCATCATTAGATGAATGGATAAAGGAAATGTGGTATATATACACAAGGGAATATTATTCAGCTTTATTTAAAAAAAAAAAAAAGAATGAAATCCTGCCACTTGCAACAAATGGTTGGAAAGAAGGACATTATGTTGAGTGAAACAAACCAGATACAAAAAGACAAATATCCCATGTTCTCCCTTACATGTGGGAGCTAAAATTTTTAAAAAGGCAAAAAAAAAAAAAAAAAAGGAAAGAAAGACATGTTTGTGTGTGTGCAAATATAGTTTTGTAAAACTTTGTTTTATACCTTTGCAAAATCAGTGGTTAAAAATCTTATACTATGGCCAGTGCCACGGCTCACTTGGCTAATCCTCCGCCTGCAGCGACAGCACCCCAGGTTCTAGTCCCGGTTGGGGCACCGGATTCTGTCCCGGTTGCTCCTCTTCCAGTCCAGCTCTCTGCTGTGGCCTGGGAAGGCAGTGGGGGATGGCCCAAATGTTTGGGCTCTGCATCCGCATGGAAGACCAGGAGGAAGCACCTGGCTCCCGGCTTCAGATTGGCACAGCGCGCTGACCGTAACGGCCATTTGGGAGGTGAACCAACGGAAGGAAGACCTTTCTCTCTGTCTCTCTCTCTCACTGTCTAACTCTGCCTGTCAAAAAAAAAAAAAATCTTATACTACTATAGTTTTAATGACCTGTGATTACTTTAAAATTCACTGTATATGGTGATATGGTCATTTTTCCACTCAATAATTGTTTATAGCCATTGTCTATATTCCCACTAAACTATGCTCTTTTTGCTTTTTACTTGCTAAATTTTTTATCCAATGAAGTATTAAGACTTCTTACTAATCGTAAATTTAAAATATGTTGTCTCATAAACTAAAAAAAGGGAGAAGGAAAGAGAGTAGGAGGGGAAGGATATATCATTATGTTCTTAGAACTGTATATACAAATCACATTGAAGCTGTTAAAAACTAATTAAAAATAAACAAGTAAATAGAAATTCTTAGGAAAAACAAAAAATGCAAAACAGTAATATCCACTGATCAAATGAAACAAAATACAAATGGAAATATAGGGAACCTCGTTACCAATAAATGATTTTCTATTGTAAAATATATGTTCTTAGAAATTTCTAAAAGGCATTTTGTTATAAGTACTCAATCCTATTATTACAAAAATTCACTTTTTCTATTCTGCATTAATTGCCTCAAACCAAAACTCCGCGAATGGATTCCTTATTTAATAGCAAACATATCCCAAATTGGCACAACAGCTAACACTACGTTCTTACAGTGGATCCTGCAAATTCTCAGTGTGTGTGTGGCAGAGGATCTATTATTGAAATGGAGCCCCTAATGCTAATGCCTTTGATGGAGACCCTAGTCTGTCTCCCTTAGCTTGCAGTTCCCAAGTCTTCACTTTGGTTGTTACAATTCAACTCCTTACTATAGGTTAACTCATGAAGTTAAGGGTATGGTGCCTGGGTCAGGTGGGGCCCCACAAAGCCCCAGCTCACCAGCTCCTCAGTTTTTCCCCTCTAAACTTAACATCTTAAAGCTAGAGTCTATTTTGAGATGCTTCACAGGAACCCCAGGCTCTGATCAAACAGAGTTAATAACCAGTCTCCTCTCAGACCCCAGACAGACGGGGCCCACTTGGCCATCTCAGCATTCTCAGAACACACCAGATGCCCTACTGCAACAAATCAAAGGAAAGTCACAGCACTGTGCAACAACCAGAGACCCACAAATGACCTGGTCAAGATCTACTCAACCCTGAATTTAATCTGTAAGATTCACCACACTACCATCATTAACCCTGAGGGCAGACACAGCTGCTGATCCCTCCTTCTGCACATCACAAAATAAACTCCTACTTCCTTCCACTATCCAGTGTCGGGGAGGGGCTGGCTGTATGCAGGATGAGTGGACCCAGGTGCAGGGGCTCTACAGCAGAATCAACATCGACTTTGGTGATGTCTCTCCCACGTGTTAACTTCTTGAACTTTTATGGTTCCTTTCAAACACAAACCTACCTATCAGGATTACAAAAGCAAAGGAAATCAAAATCAATGTGCATTTGAAGGTTGGCCACTTTAATTATTTAGGATAAACATTCAAAGTTAGGCACCTAATTTCTTCCTCTGGAACAAACTGGTAAGTTTTCAGAGATTCCAAGAACTTCTGAGAAATCCTGCCTCTTCACATAGGACTGGGGCTGAAGTCAGAAGACCGTCCCAGGTCCTGATTCTGCCAGTGCAATGCAGAACCCTGGACAGCTCACTGGATCCATCTCCTCAATTTATAAAGGCAGAATTGCACTAGGTATCCTGTGAAACCTTTCCATACTAAATTCTCTAATCAAAAAGCAAACACACACACACACACACACACACACACTCCATCCAGATGAGGGTCAGAGGCTTGTGGCAAAGCCAAGAAGCAACCAGATCCCACCAACAACTCTTTTCACTTAAGATAAGCTGCCTTGAGCAAGTAACGACACCACAAAAAATGAGTGCTGAATGCTGAACGGAAGCACCAAGAACGCCAACTAATGTTCTGGCCCTGCTCTACTTCCAAGACAGGACAGCGAGATGAACAAAATGCAGTATTTACCATCTCCTTTCCTATTTCATATGTAAACGTGAACTTGCTCAAAGTACAAATGAGCAGAGCATAAATAAAACAGTAAGGAAACTGAGTACAATAACACTTTTTTTTTAGCCTTCAGTCCTTAAGAGAAACAAAAATCCAGGTTTCACATCAGCTTTACCTCACTCAATTTCAAAAGCACATCTACACGTTTTCTAGAAAACAGTCATAATAACTAAACTTGTTTAACTTGAATTTATTATACTGGTTACAAGCAGCATAAGGTTTTATTGTATTTCTGCACTTGAGCGGACTCTGAAGAATGAAGGGGGCAGGCATTTGCTATAACAGTTAAACTGCCACTTGGGATGTCCATATCCTTATCCGAGTGCCTGGTTCAAGTCCCAGCTTCCTACTCATGTGCATCTTGGAAGGCACTCTATGATGGCTCCGTGGGCCCCTGCTGTCCACTTGGGAGATCCAGATGGAGTTCTAGGCTCCTGGCTTCTGCCTGGCCCAACCATGGCTGTTGGAGGCATTTGGGAAGAAAACTAATGGATGCAAGATCCCCATCTCTCTGCCTTTCAAATAAATGGAAATAGGGGCCAGTGCTATGGCATAGCAGGTAAGGCTACCACCTGCAGTGCTGGCATTCCATACCACCTCCAGTTCAAGTCCTGGCTGCTCCACTTCCAATCCAGCTCTTTGCTATGGCCTGGGAAAGCAATGGAAGATGGCCCAAGTCCTTGGGCCCCTGCACCCATGTGGGAGACCCAGAAGAATCTCCTGGCTTCGGGTTGGCACAGCTCCAGCTATTGTAGCCATTTGGGGAGCAAACCAGTAGATGGAGGAACTTTCTCTCTCTGTCTCTCTACCTCTCTGTGTAACTCTGCCTTTCAAATAAAATAATCTTTTTTTTTAAAAAATGAAAATAAATTCTCAAATGGAGAAAGATGATGAAGATGATGAAGATGAAAAAGAAAACTCAAAGAATAGCCAACCAAAAAAGTGTAAAGGTGTTCAAAAAAAGCCAAACCAACATTAATTCTACCTAATCCAACATTTGAAGTTCAACTTAAATGATGCAGGGGGTAAGTATTCATTTGATGGATCAATAATGCCAACTGGTTGATGGCACCCCAGATTACTGAATCCCAAAGTTATATATGAAATGTCTTATCAGTGACATGAACATCTCAGGTTTGTTCTACAACAAATGATAGAAAGCAGGCCTGCCATGGAGTAGCAGAACCAAGCGAAGGGTTAGAAACCCACATGACACCAGCCTGGGCAAGGAGATACAAGAACACACGAGCATCACTGTGCAACCTAAAAGCATAATTTTTAGGTAACAAAACTAACCAGAAAAAAAAAATTACTGATGGCACCTGGTGCCAAAAGTGAATTCTTTGCCAAAGGGTGCGTTGGGTATTCATCAACTAGATGGAGGAAAAAAAAAATAAAGGAGGACACCAAGTTCTCCAAATGGAGAATCTATTAGTTTATTTTAAATCACATGCAGCTAATTGAGTTACAGTCCTTAGGTTAATGGTCCTCATGGGTTTAATCCCTAAAGATCTAAACCCATTAGGAAATCAGCTGTGTTTAAATACAATGTTGTTAACAGGAAGAAAGCAATGTGTCAAAGTGCTGCAAGGCACACTAAACAAATCAGCATGAGAATGTCCAACTTCCAAATATAACAGAACTACATTCATGCAGCCAACAAATATTTGCTAGTTACCATTAATATAAAACGCAATGTC